AAAAAAAAAAAAAAAAATTAATACAATTCCTCATGTTGTGGTGACCCCAAACATAAAATTATTTTTGCAATGATAGATGCTACAGCATTCTACCCAGGGCAACAGCTTGAGATTGTCTCAAAACAAAACAAAAAAACCCCAACAAAAATGATATCTCAAATATCTTCGAGGTAGATCGGAAACATGCAAAATGACAGTAATAGTATAGATAGTCCCGCAGTCCAAACAAAACAACTCGGTATGTTGTATTTGGTCTTGTGGCCAACATTTTGCAACTTCTGTTTTAGATTTTCTGTGTGTCCTTTGTTTGACACCGTCGCCTTTTGGAGTGCATCAGCATCATGGTACATTTCATGAGTATTTGTTAAAGCCCTGAGAGAGAATTATTATCCTAGACTTAGTTTCTCTTTTAGAACCATAGAGTATGGTGTGTTAAGTGTGATGTGTTAATTCAAGTCATCTGATTCTCTTAACTTTTTCCTTTCTTTTTCTCTTCCTTAAGAGATATTAGGTGGGGCCAATACACCTTATGAAAAAGGTGTTTTCAACCTGGAAGTTATCATTCCTGAGAGGTTAGTATAATTTAGATTCTCAAGGTATAGGGTAAAATCCAGTTATTATTACAGAAGACAGAGAAATGCAAAGATAGAGCATTACATGTAGTAGTTAAAGGACCTGGTGTCACAGCTCATAGCAACCTCTAGCTCTGGGGCTTAGGTGATTCTCTTGCCTCAGCCTCCTGAGTAGCTGAGACTATAGGCACCCGCCACAAGGCCCAGCTATTTTTTTGTTGCAGTTCGGCCGGGACTGGGTTCAAACCTGCCACATTTGGCATATGGGGTTGGTGCCCTATTCACTGAGCCACAGGTGCCGCCTAGGGGAATTATTTTTAAAAAATTTTTAAGTATATTAGTATTACCGTTGTATTAGGAGAATGTCCTTATTCTTAGGGGATAAATGCTGAAGCATTCAGAAGGGGAAGTGATTTGACTCCAATTGGTGGGTGCATGGGTGTTTTTAATACTACTATTTAAGCTTTTCTGATTGTTTATAATTTTCATAATAAAAATACAGGAAGAAAGAATATTTGCTTCCCAAAGGCAGTCTTCTTGATATTTGTATAATACCAACATATTTTTTTATATATTAGCGACCAGAAAACTTTTAAAAATGTATTAAGAAGCAATAATATGTGGCCGGAAACAGTGGTTCACACCTGTAATACTAGCACTCTGGGAGGCTGAGATGGCAGATTGCTTGAGCTCAGGAGTAAGAGCGAGACCCCCATCACTAAAAATAGCCAGGTGTTGTGTCAGGCGCCTGTAGTCCCAGCTATTTGGGAAGCTGAGACCAGCAAATCTCTTGAGCCCAGGAGTTTGAGGTTGCTGTGAGCTGTGACGCACTCTACAGAGGGCAACATCATGAGACTTTGTCTCCAAAAAAAAAGCAATAATACAACGTTATAATGAAAATTCTCTGTCCTGTGTATTCATAGGTATCCATTTGAACCTCCTCAGATCCGATTTCTCACTCCAATTTATCATCCAAACATTGATTCTGCTGGAAGGATTTGTCTAGATGTTCTCAAATTGCCACCAAAAGTAAGTGTGAATAAAGGATTGATTCTGCCATTCTGTTTCTTTCATTTATAAAACTTGAATTAGAGTATCACATTATAATATATGAACAACTATTTATCTGTCTATATAAAGGGTGCCTGGAGACCATCCCTTAACATTGCAACTGTGTTGACCTCTATTCAGCTGCTTATGTCAGAACCCAACCCTGATGACCCACTCATGGCTGATATAGTTAAGTATCCTCATTTCCTCTGCAACACATATTCTGCTTTCTCTATATCTTCAGTGTTCCATGTAAATCACTTTTTCCACATTAACTCTTTTTTGTTTCATCTTAGTCTTCAGAATTTAAATATAATAAGCCAGTCTTCCTCCAGAATGCCAGGCAGTGGACAGAGAAGCATGCAAGACAGAAACACAGGGTATGATGTTTGCTATTTATTGTCAGTTCATTAACATATGTATTTATATCTGTGTAAATAATGTTTATTAGGTTGCCACATTTATACTTTGCTCTCGAATGACTAATTTATCTTTTCTCATATTATAACCTTCTAAAATAATTATTCAAGCTGGATGCCTATAGCTCAGTGGTCAGGGAACCGGCCACATGCTCTGGGGCTGGTGAGGTTTTTTATGGTTAAACAAACTAAAAAAAAACAAAAGCCAGGCATTGTGGCAGACACCCATAGTCCCAGCTACTAGGGAGGCTGAGGCAAGAAAATCGCTTGAGCCCCAAGGGTTTGAGGTTTTCTGCTCAGTTTACCAAGGGCAACAAAGTGAGACTCTGTCTCAATAAAAAATAAAATAAATAAAATAAGTATTCAGCAAAATAGCCTAGTAGTTCAATCAACATAGATTTTTCCTAATATTGCCATTCGTTGGCAACACTAGAGGGCAGACAGCATCATACTTGGGGGTAGCAGGGATAGAGAAGGTGACTCAGACTCTTTTTCTCCAAGTTGTCTTTTTAACACTGTAAAGGAACTATGTTTGCATGGGCTAGTTACAGAAATAGGGAGAGGGAAACTTATGTCTCATGGGACCATTCATGGAAAAAGAAGAGAAGGAAAAACTTGCCCAGTTTAAGTTGATAGAATTTCCTCATTTAACAAAATACAAATTGCAGGAACTTGGGGATTAACGCATCCTGGTTCTTGCTGAATTACAACATTCAGGTTCTTTTTTTTTTTTTTTTTTTTGAGACAGAGTCTCACTTTGTCACCCTTGGTAGAGTGCTATGGCGTCATAGCTCACAGCAACCTCAAACTCTTGGGGTTAAGTGAGTCTCTTGCTTCAGCCTCCCAAATAGCTGGGACTACCAGCACCCACAACAACCTCTATTTTTTAGAGACAGGGTCTTGCTCTTACTCAGGCTGGTCTCAACATGTGAGCTCAGGCAATCCACCTGTCTTGGCCTCCCAGGTGCTGGGATTACAAGCATGGGCCATCGTACCCAGCCTAACATTCAGGTTCTGATAAAGTAGCAATTGTGTTACTTATAAAAAGAAAGGCACAGTAGCTCACACCTATAATCCTACCACTCTGGGAGGCCAAGGCAGGTAGATTGCCTGAGCTCAGGAATTAGAGACCAACCTGAACAAGAGTGAGACACCCATCTCTAAAAAAAATTAGCCAGGTGTTGTAGCAGGTGCCTGTAGTCCCAGCTACTCAGGAGGCTGAGGCAAAATAATCGCTTGAGCCCAAGTCATCATAGCATTCTACTAAGGGCCACAAAGTGAAACTGTCTCAGGAAAAAGAAAAATTAAAACACAGAAGATGTTTTTAGGCTCGGTGCCTGTGGCTCAAGTGGCTAAGGCGCCAGCCACATACACCTAAGGTGGTGGGTTCGAATCCAGCCCGGGCCTGCCAAGCAACAATGATGGCTGCAACCAAAAAATAACCAGGCGTTGTGGCGGGTGCCTGTGGTCCCAGCTACTTGGGAGGCTGAGGCAGGAGACTCGCTTGAGCCCGGGAGTTGGAGGTTGCTGTGAGCTGTGAGGCCATGGCACTCTACCCAAGACGACAGCTTAAGGCTCTGTCTCCAAAAAAAAAGATGTTTTTAGAGGGACTATTATATGCACGATATAATATGTGTACATATAAATCTTGCAACAGATAAGTACCTGGAAATATCATAGGGCTTCATTTTTCTTCATCTTGGCATTTGTGTGAACTTCATTGTGTTTCTCTCTATTTCCTCCACCTTATTTTAGGCCGATAAAGAAGAGATGCTTGATAATCTACCAAAGGCTGATGCTGATTCTGAAGTACACAACTCAACACAGAAAAGGAAAGCCAGGCAGCTAGGAGGCATAGAAAAGAAATTTTGTCCTGATGTTTAAGGATTTGTCCTGGTCCATCTTGTTAATACATCCTTTGCCAAGGTGGTCTAATTTTCTTGCCTTCCTTGAATGTTTTTCTTTGTATTTGATGACATAATTTTTGTGTCCTATAAAAGACCCTGTATATTTACGTATTCTGCTCTACAGTGATTCTCAGTGTAGTTTGTTTTATTTATCTTGTACATATGTATTTTGAAACCTTTTAAACCTGAAAAATAAATAATCATTTAATGTTGAGTATGTTTATCCTGAATGTGGTTCTGGGAGTGAACTGGCTAGAGAGCTATATAATCAGAATGTTGAAATATTTGGAATTGTCCTTTATCTTTTAACTTAACCATCACTAGTGACACTGAATGTTTGACAGAGATGTAAAATAGCTATTAGGAACAATTCAGTTACCCCCAGGCTTTCAGGGATTCTAGCTTTGTAAAGGTCTTAAAATAATGTGGGTAGAAGGTAATATGCCCTTTTGTTAATTTTTTGTTTGTTTTTTTTTGTTTTGCAGCTTATACTTTCTTGTGGTTTACATAGCTGGTCAGAATTACTGTGGTATAACTTTGATTTGTTCAAATATTTATTGAACACCTGCTGCAGGCCAAGTTTGTACTAGTGTTTGAGAATGTAATGGTGAGAAGTCAGACATGGGATTAACCAAATCAGCAAACAAATTTTTTTTTTAATTTTTTTTTTTTTTTTTGCAGTTTTTGGCCGGGGCTGGGTTTGAACCCGCCACCTCCAACATATGGGGCCGGCGCCCTACCACTTGAGCCACAGGTGCCGCCCCAGCAAACAAATTTAAGTAGGGACGGTTATAATCCCTTCCTCTCCCTAGCTTCATTTTATGGCAGGTACTACTCTGAACAATTAGAGCCAAACTGGAATAACTACTCATTTTATAATTTTATAATATACTTGATTAGTCCTTATAATTCTGTTTAAGTGACAGACATAATAGATTTGAGCAAAAACTGATATTGGAAGAGGTTACCTGGGCCACATGAAAGACTTTGAGGAATGTAGGTATTATATTTGCTCCGGTAGAGAAATCTGAGTGTAATATCACTCTTCATATCCCAGCATAGCAATGATGATTTTATAGGCCAGGCACGTGCCCATAAAATGCATCTGAGTAGGCAGTTTCCATTTATCCATCTATGAATTACCTTGTACCCTTTATGCTGCAGCAGCCTGCCATATAGCAAATCTAGTATCTGGACTTATGCAAAGAAGATAAGGAGTATGAATATATATAATCCATTAATGACAGATGAAAACATAAGCTGAAAATACGAATTTCTAACTTCTATGGAATTCTTGAATCTACTTATCAAAATTAGTGTTCTCTTTTTAAATTCCAGGAATTTTTATTCCAGACTTATCATCTATAGTCAAGCATACTTAGGTCAGGTTTGGGGTTCCTAAATACCATTTAGTACAGCAGTTCTCAACCTGTGGGTCATGGCCCCCTTTTTTTTCTTAGAGACAGAGTCTCGCTTTATCACCCTCAGTAGAGTGCTGTAGCATCACAACTCACAGCAACCTCCAACTCCTGGGCTTAGGTGACTCTTACGCCTCAGCCTTCCTAGTAGCTGGGACTACAGGCACCCACCACAATACCTGGCTATTTTTTGTTGCAGTTTGGCCGGGGCCAAGTTCAAACCCGCTACCTTCGGTATATGGGGCCAGCACCCTACCCACTGAGCCACAGGTGCCACCTGTGGCTGCTTTTTAACAATGAAAATACATTTTGGTATTAGGAAGATTGAGAACTACTGATTTTGTGTATCAATTAGGTTGTTTTTTAGTTGTGAGTGAAATCCAGCTCAGACTGGCAATAATAAAGGAAGTGCATTTGCTTACAAAAAGTCCAGGGATAGGGTGAACATCAGGATTGGTGGATTTAGAGGCTCAACAGTGTCATCAAAGGTCTTGGTCTCTTTCCATCTGCCATTCACAGCTTTCTCTTAGGCTGTTTCTAAGTTTCTTTTCCTCCTAGGTTGACTACCAGCAGCAAGCATGGCTTCATGCTTTCTTATTCACACCTAGCAGGACAGAGGGCTCTATTTCCCATGGAACAAAAGTTCCTGTGATGAGACTACCCTGAAAACAATCACTATGGCCAAGGAAATGCCATGTGCTGATTGGTCTGGGTTAAACCCAGATATGAAAGGAAAGATGGATTTAGAAGGGGGTAGTTTTAGACAAAGAGTACCTCCTACAGGACAAAAAAACTTCTACACATCTAACCTCTTACCAAGTGTGGTCAGCTCTGTCAGCTACTTCTCCCTGCCTCCAGCTCTAAAACCAGTTCGGTGATTTTCAACCCATGTGCCTCGGCACACTGGTGTACTGTGAGAAGATGCTGCAAATTTTTTTCAAATCATTAATTAAATTATTTTTGAAAGAAGTTCAAAGCACAGTAAGTATATTCTTTTTTTAATTCTTTTTAGGGATCACATTAAGTGTCCAACAGAAGTTTAACTACAGGCTCAAGTGTGCCATGAGATTAAAAAAAAAAGGGTTGTAAAACACTGCTCTAGTTCAATCTGCCATCATCTCAGCACTATAGCTACAGCCTCCTATCTTGTTTCAGACCTTGACCCTCAATGGCCCCATGTTCCTCACAGCAGCAAGAAATAACCTTTAGACATGTGGTTCTCAACCTTCCTAATGCTGCAACCCTTTAATATGGTTCTGTGGGTTGCGACCCGCTGCTTTAGACAATGTAACTCAGATTTGGCTTCACTCTTTAAAACCCACCAGGTGGCTTCCTTTTGCAGTTAGAAGGAAAATCCAGTCTCCTCCCCTGGCCTGTAAGACCCTGCATCATCTGGTTCCTTCTTGCTATGTCTATCCATCTTCATTGCATACCCTCTACCCCTCATACACCATACTCCAGCCACCCTGACTTACTTTCAATCTCTTAGACACCTACCTCATTCCTACTTCAGGACTTTTACACTTGCTAGTTCCTCTGCTCCTACATTTCCCCATGATGGTCTCAGCTCAAATGTAGCTGTTTCAGAATCCCATCTGGGGAAGCCTATAAAATTATTAATTTTCTTTGTAGCACTTGTACCTATCTGAAAATGCATTTATCTGTTTATGTGTATGTTATGTGACTCAAAGTGCCAGGGATATAAGTGGCTACAGGGACTCTTTCCTCTAATCCAGTGGTTCTCAACCTTCCTAAAGCCATAGCCCTTTAATACAGTTCCTGGGGGTCGTGATCCTCAGGTTAGGAACTACTGCTCTAACCACAAGAAATATCACAGCCATAAGTTATTAAAAGTCATCCATCCATCTCTGGCTTAACAAATACAGAGGACTTGGACTAGAGAACAGAAGTGACATGCTTAAAGAGTAGAAAAGCCCAAGTTCCCACTTCCTGCCCAGGGAAGGATTAGAAGGGTTAAAACATGGTCTTTGGTCAAGAAGACCTGGTTCCTGCCCTGGCAGTATTACTTACCCATTGTGTGACCTTAGTGCTGTACGCAATCTTTATTTGGGGAGAGGGACCAGAGAGGATTGCCTCTGTAAAATGAGAATAATGATGGTACTTAGAAAATTTGAATGCAATGATGCATGTAAAGCACCCAGTACAGGGCCTGGCATGGTGCTGACATTTATTGAGTGCTTAGCAGAGGGATGAAGACAGCAATCTACCCATAGGTGGGCCTTAAGGAGATGCTCTGCCCCCTGCCTACTTGCCAATCTGCTGTGTTCCTGGGATAAGCAAGCTGAGCAAAGTTTCTCAACTCCAAACGCCTAATTAAAGAGAGATGACATCCATGACTGATCATGTAAACATTGCAGATTCCAAGTTCCCCTCTTCTGCTGCCCCCAATTTCCCTCTCCACCTCTCTCCAAAAGCAATTTAAATAAGAACAGATTTTACCACCCACCTTGTGGGCAGACTCGAGCTGAGGCTGGAACGAGCTATTTATCCTCTGGCTGCTGCGGGAATTCAACACATACAAATAAAGCTTCTTTTCCAGCCAAGTGTGTATTTTTCCATCAGTGTGTGGCCCCCCTGCCCAGGTTGTCTTGTTTAGGTTGGGGCAGCCTGAGGGAGGGAAGGACAGGAGAGGGTGTGGGGCTGTGGTTTCAGAACCTGCTCCCCAGGATGACTGGCTGCAAGGCATCTTGCAGTTCTGGACTACACCAGGCTGCCAGTGAAGCCTGGGAGAGGCTGGGGTGATGGCTATGCACAGAAACAACACATTCCATTTGG